TAACATTGTATAAAAGAAATTAGAACGACTGTTTTCAAATGATTGTGAATCTGATATGTGTTGATGCGATTAGAAGTGGGAATAATTTTGCAGGCACCAAGTTACTAAATTTGCTCTGAAGGCACAGCTATGAAACTTCTGACGTCTGGAACAAACTTGACGTACGCGTCCTCTCAAGGTCACAGTTTACAGCAAGCGTTCTACAGGTATACTTTATAACAACTATAAACTTAACAAGTTGCGAAGCATTTTGTGAACCAACAAATGTTGTAATTTAAAGATCATGCCTGTAAAAATGGCGTATACCTGCGCATGCAGAAATATATATATATATTATTATTATAAAGTCTTTGGTTTGTGCTATCGCGGGTTACTATTCAGGTGTTCATACCAAAGCAGGTGGTTTTCTTAGGGTGCTACTACTCCATATGTTTTTGACTCAGCCACCTAATACACATGACAGTGATACAATGTTAGAAGATTCGGTCTTATATCAACCAGTGGCCGAGATTAGGTTCATATGACATTTATCCCCTTAGGGTTCTGTATGACATGTGCACCATAGATTTGGAATCAGGGTTTTCTAACTTTTCTGGGAGGGTCGTCCGTACCCAGCAATCTGGTTTAAGAGATGAAGGTTCGCTTATATTTCTTCCAATTTCGGAATCAACACTTGTTCCTCCCGAAGAGAATGGGTACGGCTGTACTGACAGTGACGATATAGAAATAGTCATATGAGAACATTTGAGGGGAGAGCGGACTCTCCACTTTCGTCCATACTATGGCGTTTGGGGGCAATTTTTTGCACGTCATTCATTAGTATATGAATAAACTTACCCCATATTAGATCATGAGGTCTTTGAATCATTGGTAGAATAACTTATATGGTGTTCTATAATTAGTAACTACTCCCTATTTCGTTATGGGCGATTTATTTTGGGCGGCTGTTTTCCGTCTTAAGAATATCGTACCCAGTCGGCTACAACGTAGGACCAGGCACATAATGCATCGGTCCAAGTTGCCATATTTCATTAGCACAACAAGATGAACGCTCCGACATACATCAAAGCGTATGAATTGAGTCTTTCGTGCCTTAAGGTAACCCTCGTGCTATTGATAGAAGAAACCAGAGAAGTAGTGAATAGGTCTTTGTTTCGATCTTCGCGCGGTCACAGTGGAGCGTTGGATTATCTGTTCAGACAAACAAAGGCTCTCAACATTCAATATAAGATAATAGGGAATATAACGCTTATAAAAAATAAGGAAGTGAGTGAATACTTGAACAATACTGTTTTGGCATATGCTTGGTTGTTTGGGGTCACCTCTTAACCAACCAACCTGAGCTGTTTCATTAGCTTCCCCCTAGAATTACTTATACAACCTGTCCAAATAATCAAATAATACAGGCCATGTATGTTACGACCAAGGCTTTCCTAAGCGACGCAAGAGATAAAGCAAATAAGCGTAATTGACTGTCCAAAGAAAGGATGTGCTAAATGCACTCTCGATCTGTAATTCAGTGCCGGTTCCTGTTTTTTTACTAGTTTCTGGTAAACATTTATACCGCAATAACTATTTTCTGTCTATCTTATTCCCAGCTGGCTTCACAAGTGTTCACACACCTAACGGGAACAATTCTTAAGAATTGGAAGTTATTTAATAATGGATCATTTGTGCTGGATTTAAACTTTAATAAACGTTGTCATTTATAACGCATCAGTTTTTTAATGACGGCAATACTTATCTGTCGTGACAGGTCGAAATTCGAACTAGTAGTATAGTACACCATGTTCAAGGTTGCAGTATTTGATGGTCTGTATGACTAATCGCGTGTGTGTCAAATTGGTAATTATTACACAATAACGCGAAACAACATCCCTGCCTCACAACCACATAAGACTGCACAGTACACTTTCCCTGCCGTTACGATATAAGAATAAGTTGTTGTTCTGATAAGTCGAGTCATTACATATTACCTCTGGGAACGCGTGGTAAAAAGCTACCAGCTCCCTGAGACTGAGGCAAAATCATAGATATGTTCCCATGTTCATTGAGTACTTTTACTTCAGTGTTTGCTTGAACGAGCTGCAAAATGTCATTGGTATTTTTAGTGTCTAAACTCAATTAATTACAATGTGACTTCAACAACCTGGGTAGAACTGCTAACGCATTTTGGCGATATCGTCCTTGGTAAGCTGTTTATGGAACGTCCAATAAACCAGATGCCGTAAGCTACGAGTTAGAAACGTTCTTAAATATAAGCGTTCACTTGACGTCAACTGTCGTCTCTACGCATTGACAGAAATATATCCTTCTGTGCAAGGATGGTTGTGCACGGTTTTAATATAGGTGACTTTCAGCTCACCATTTACTGCCCGGACAAAAAATCCAGATTGACAATGGCAATATTTCGACCTGAAGGATAAATCCATTTGAAGTAAGGCATACGTAGATGTCCGACGTCGTTTCCTTTGTCTAGGTTGTGTTGGCGAGTTAGAAGTTGTACGCTCTTCAGAAGAATGATGATTACTATCATCATGTACATCCTGAACGCAAGCATCTGACTCTGCTGAACTGCGTTTGCGTCCATATGTACAGACATATCTCACGAAAAAGTACTTCAGAGTTGGACCATCACTGTTTTTTTCATACTGACATAACATACTTAGTATTCGTATACTAAAAAATAATTATTAACCACAGAAGTCATATTACCTTATGTACTTCTTTCAAACAGGTGTAGCGTGGTGTCGAGTTGAGATTAACTATGAACACCGCTACCAAGAAACACGTGCCAAGTTAATCAGAAGGTGAAGGTTGAACGTAACCAAATAAATCCATAAAATCCCCGAGAAGCCAAATACCAGAAGGCAAGTAATGGACCAAGTCGAGATATATTCGCTGGCGGTCTTGTGGCATCGAAAGGATACCGAGATCGTGCCAGGATAGAAGCTTGGTTACAGAACGTAACCGAATTCGCGCGAAGTTACAATCAAAGTGTGTCTATATGAATGGAAGCACAAAATTGCTGTCATTAGCACAGTCAAACAAAAGCACGTTAAAACAAACACTGGTACAGTTGGTTATAATAATTGTTTTTATTAAACCAGTCGGGTTCTCGTGATAAATGTGAGTCACTACACAGGTGTCAAAATTGTCCCAACTTGTAAATCTTCGAGATAACATAATATCATTGAAGATTCGTCCTACATCATGCATCATCAAGATAGCATCGTCTTCGTTACTTGAAGAATGGACGTTATCAGACATGGTGCGGCTGAACTCAATTCAAATCTAACAATGTCTTGATTTGACCGCTTATGAAAAAATTCACGAATTGTTGATTGATTCACCAATCATCTTGCGACAGTTTGACCTTCAAGTGCTCGCAACCATTATCGGTGGACGATACCCCTGGAGCGCAGCCGAAGCGTGTGGCTCACACACAAGTGTCTAATAAGTGTGTTTGGTTCTGTCCAACCATAATTGTCTTCTGAGCGGTAGCTGTGAATTGTTAAACCAATTGTTAATTAATAATGATATTAGGTTGAGCATAATGTACTAGGTAAATTAGTTGTGTGACCAACAACTACCTGATAGTTTAGTTATTATACTAGTACAGTATGATAGTAACTAAATTCGGTGGCTTTATTATGTAAACTATCTTCATATTTTTATGCAAATAATATGATACACCGATTCATAAACCCAAATACATATAGCAATGACGGCTATGATGGGTTTAGTGAAAAACGTTAAAGGCGATTCAAATGATTGTTAAATTTAAAATACATAGAGGTATAGTGCAACTCATATACAGGTCAGGTTAACATGGTGGTTGGTCAAGAACATAACAGTTTAAAAGTATTAAACTTGGCCAAAAAAGTTTTTAAAAGTTGAGACGACTTATGGAACTATAGTTAGGAATACGACGAATTACGATATAGACTTTTCATAAGAAGTTACTGTAGTTGGTTTGTGACGTTTATAAACTTGTGGCAGAGGTAATCGGAACTAAGGAGTATCAAATAATTTTTTGAATCTAATACGTCTTGTCTGTAAGCACACTTTTTCATAGTAGTATAAAGCTATTAAATATATCTTATACCAAAAACGTTTCGGGAGTGGTTTGTATGAAATATATACGGCTAGACTAAGTGAAAGTATATACATGTTGAGTACAAAAACGGTTGGTGAGATTTCAGACTTCTACCAATTGAAATGGTTAGGATATGTGTAAGTTACCCCCAGCTACCACTTATATCAACGTGCTGTACTGACTAGTGCAAGATTAAATCGAGAAACGACTAAAAATCATCAGTCGAAGCATTATTAGCCATCATTGGCTTTTTCTGAAGCTTATTGAAAAGTTCAAATACTCCGATAACTGTCTGCTACTTGACTGTGATCAATGATAATGTTAAATAGAAACAATGATAACTAATATTTCCACGAAGGATATTACTTCACTGTACAACTTTGAATATGAAGCATCTTTAGCCTCACAAAACATTTACTGGTCAATGGTTTTAGTATTGCTAATTCTCGATCATCATTTCAAGTGTCTAGGTTTGTGTTTCTCGTAAGTTTGAGAAATTAATATCATGTAGTTTACAAGTGCATTGATTAAATCCAACAATTTGCAGGTTTATGGGCTCATACTGATAATGCTAATAGCATTACTGATTTTCTCAGAGCGAAGTAATTAGAGTGAATCGAAATCTCTGGAATCCAGCAGTTGTCAGTCATTACTCTGCAATGTCAAACACATCATGAATACAGCTAGGACAATTGTTAGTCTGATTCGTATATTATAATTGTTGCAATTTGATGTTAGATTTGTAAGTAAATTTTATTTGGAACCTAATTCTAATTTTACAGTTTATATCTTATCAAGTTGATAAATATTTACTAAACCGAATTCTCCAATAATTTATTTTGTTCATACGTTTCTCCCCAGCTAATAGGTATTCCAATTCTTACAACGTTCAAGCCCGATTATGTGGTATGTTTAACTGTTCATAATTTTAAATTAAATAATTCTCTAGTTCTATTCATTCGTTCACATCAAATCAAATCGAGAAATTACGTGAATCTCTTCTACTTTGGTATGACAGATCCAAACGTGATTTGCCGTGGCGTCGAATGGTATGAATTTTAATTGTTATCTATATTTCAAACTATTTTATTATATAGGCCTTGAATCCGGATCCCAATTTACGCGGTTACGCTGGTATGTTTAATCATTCTCTAGATTTTTTGTTTCATATTTTTTGTATGTGTTCAGTCTGGGTATCGGAAGTTATGCTTCAACAGACTCAAGTAAAAACAGTTATTGATTATTATGATCGATGGATGAAAGTTTGTTTGATAGTTTGATCCGTTTTTTAAATCATATATCTATCATTACAGAAATGGCCTAGTGTTGATCAACTAGCCTCGGCTTCGTTAGACGTATGTATATTAATTGGTCACCTACCTAGAGCTATAATTGTATTGTAGGATGTCAATTCTCTATGGTCTGGATTAGGTTATTATTCCAGAGCTCGCCTACTACATAAAGGAGCGAAAAAGGTTAATTTTTTAAAATCGGACTCATTTTGTAGATTGTCAATGAATTTAATAGTATTTTCCCTCAATCTGCCGAGGTTTTAAAGCATTCGATACCTGGTGTTGGACGTTATACAGCTGGAGCAATTGCAAGTATTGCGTTTAATCAGGTAATGTTTTACACACTGAATTAAGTCCAACGTTGTTACTATTATATTAGTACCATTTTTATTATAACTAGTGAATTGGAATGTGATAATGTAACATATATCAAGTAAATGCTTACTTACTCAATTTAGGACTACACCTTTTACATGTAAGGACTAAGTATACTACGTCGCTTCCGAAAGCAAAGTGAATAGGGTTCAAACTTACAGTCCATTCAAGCGGTTAGCAAAGTAGCATCGGTTCAAATTCACGCTACAAATCATCATGACAAATACCGTAATTACAGTAGTTACAGTATCACTAATAACAACAGACATTAGTCACTAACAACACGCATTGAAAAGGAAAAACAAATTTGCGGGATAAAAAGTATAGACATTTTAAGACAAAGGGTAAATACATCTGTTCGAGATAGGGAGAAAGATTTAAATATGAAGGCGATCCTGATCAAGTTCCTGGCGTTGATGTCGTTAAGGTAAAAGCCCGACCATAACTGCTACCTTGATGTGATGGTTGAACCCACCTTTCATGGTGACCCAACTGAGCTGTGTTGGCTGAAACACATGTCCCTTTAGGTCCTACCACCCCAGTCATGTCGGTTGGAGGACGGTAAGGCTAAAAGTAGTAACTTAAGGCCCGATGGCTAATTCGTACCTCTAGTTTTAGAAGGGTGTGACAACAGTAGTGTTTTCCTCGGACAACCATCCTCTTCACAGATGCTGCTTTTTCGCCACACAAGGAACGACTTTGAAAAGGTTTACCCTTAAAATGCCACATCTCATCTAGCCCCACAGATTTGCATCTCCGGCCTTAAGGCCTTTTAAAGTTTGGAGCTAACACGTCAAAATCTCATAAAAAGGCTGTGCGCAACCGACCTCAGGCAGTTGTCTCTTGGGTTCTGCGGTCATGCTCCCAGGTCACTCAGACCACCAATAACGATAGACCCATATTGCCACCAGACGTCATCGGAGAGGCGCTAGAGAAAACTGTCGCTCATTTTGGAGCACATGCTTAATTACAAGCACGTACTTGTCAACATCTTACTAGGTGTGAAAAAGTCAAAAATGTATTTCAGGAACAAATAGAGCAACAGTTAGTCAATCATTTAAGTGACATTCCCGAGGTAGCTTGACACGATATTAAAACAACGGTAACATCTGTCACCAACTAAAGCCAAAAGGTTAGGAGCCATTAGTGGTTTTTTAGCGTCTACCGAACTGATAGGTGTTTGGAAACTTGTCCTGGCGGATTCTGAAGAGTGGAGGCAGCTTAAACGAAGTTAATAACAAGCTTACTCAATGATCGTACTAGGTACTGGGTAAAAAAAGCAGAAGAAGTGAGGAAAGCAACAGAGATAGGTAATGATGGACGAATATTCAGACTTATTAAAGAAACGAGTATAAAAAGTCTCCCTGTTAGTGAAACTATCTCGGAAAAAGATGTGGCCATTATTCACTTTCAGTCCAAAAGACAACAGATGATCGGAACACTTAAGGGAACAGTTAAACTAACCTTCAGCCACACTTCAATTACCCACCATCTCCAAGCAGGCTGAATGGTAAACTGATGTAAGTCCTCCGACTGTTATTGAGGTATCGTTCTCATAGAGGCTTTTTTATCTTTACTCTCTATTGTCATTGCATTTTTCGAACTTAGTGATTCAAGATCCGTCTTGGTTTTTTATTCAACTGTTTTGGTTGTTGGTGTTTGCCTTTGCGTAGTTTTATTCCAAGTTGTCTAAAAATCACTAAGCGTTGACTCGAGAGTGTGAAAAGGTAATTGTCAATGCAAACTGAATGGCAAATCGACAACTATTTGTAAGGTTAAAAAGGCTATAGATAAAATAAAGCGAAGGAGCGCGTCAGGGCCTGATAGGCCAACTCGGTAAGTATTTATGTATAGTGATTCAGTTTCACCAATTAAATTAACTGAGATCTTATCCAGAATTTGCGATCTGGATGCAACCTCATCAAACTGATCTCGATCGCAGATCGTCCCAGTTTATAAAAAAGGACAAAATTCTACATGTGACAATCACAAAAGGATCAATTTGGCTAATATAGTATCTAAAATATTAGCTTCAATAATACTCAGATGCTTAACTTGAGCTCATAAAGATCGAACCCAAGAGAACCAGTTTGGTTCTAGACGTGGATATGGATACATAGGTCGTATATTCACTCTTCATCAGGTTCTGGAACACAGTTTTCGGCGTACAATTATATTTGTATTCTTTGACCTGTTGATCACGAGGTTCTATGTCAGTGTCTATTGTTGAAAGACGTACCAAAGAGGTACACTAACATTGTACAGGCTCTCTACTCAAACACTTTTGGTCGAGTCAAACTTATGGGGGACTGTCATCGGAATTGCTTACTGCAAGTGGTGTTAATCAGGGTTGTCCACTCTCCCCATTTTCATTTGACTTTGTCTTAGACAAGCTTTTAAAAGTAACATTCTCATTGTCTGACTTCTGAGGGGTTGATTTTCTATCACAAGATTCACTTGTTGTCTTGGTAGACGCAGATGATATAGTTTTGTGTGGTGAAGACGCCGATAAATGTGGTTTTATGACTACCTTAAGCAACAATCCTAGCATGTTTGGCATGAGATTCTCTCCCTCCAAATATGAAATATCACTTCAGGATTGGCTAGAGTCAGCACCTGAGTTAATGGTAGAGATCGAAGTAGTTTAGTGTGTCAACCGTTTCACTTATCTTGGAAGTCTCATCAGTCCTGATGGTTTGGTGTTTGAGGAAATTTCGGCTCGGATTCAGAAGGCTCGATTGGCTTTTGTAAACTTGCGTCACTTGTGTTGTAGGCAAAATACCCATCTTCCAACCAAAGGATGTTTACTGCTCAACAGTTCATTCTGTCCTAAACGATGGGTGTGAAACTTGGTCATTAAGAATGCAATATATTGGTAATTTACTAGTATTTCATCATATGTGTCTTCGACGTATTGCTCGTGTATTTCGGGACCACGGAGTAAGTAATCCTTGGGATAGGAATAGGATACCATATAAGGATGGCAAATCGATTGATGAAGTAGTAAATCATCATCAACAAAAGTGGTTGGGACATGTGTTACTTATGTCCAACTACTGCCTAAGTCGACATGTGATTTTGTTTGGGGTGGAATTATGTTGGAGAAAAGCTTGGAGCAACCAAATCAAAGCATGGTGTCAGTTTATGAAGTCACTGACAGTTGGACTTAGACATGTTGATAGGTATAGACTACCTTGTTGGTGTCCGGGTGATTATCATAATCAATGTTTAGAAACTGATTGACACTTCTCGAAATCGTTTGCAATGGAGCACTTTCACTCATTTTTTGTCTTCTCTCGAATTCTGAGATTCTAAATCCCTCATAACTATTCTTCGTTTTCATTTCTCTGTTTTACGTAGTTTTTTCGAGTGGTATCTTCGATGCCTAGTCTTTCCTATTACCACTGACACTGTTACTATCTCTACTATTCTGGGATTTGACCTGACGACTTCATTTTTTTGTTCTAACGGTGTATGACAACTTGAACCGATATACATAAGTACCAGGTTCTTCATTGTGACTGGCTGATATCTATTCTACTGAAATTGACCCTGAGTTATTTCACCGGTCATCCTCAATTACTGATTATCGCAGGTGTGCTGAATCCACCAATACATTTGTTCATTAGTTAATAGTTAATTGCTTTAACCAATAGTCTAACGTTTCTTATTTTTAAAAGCAGTGAATTCGATAACAGTACCAATGTACAAGTGTTTTATATTATTTTCACTTCAGTGTACTCCTGTTTTGGATGGAAATGTAATTCGTGTTCTAACACGTTTACGTCAAATTGGTTCTCCTGTACAATTACCTACTTCTATGGAATATTTATGGAATTTGGCAACTAAGCTAGTCGATCCTAATCGACCTGGAGATTTTAATCAAGCTTTAATGGAATTAGGTGCAGTTTGTTGTACACCGAAAAACCCTGATTGTATGAAATGTCCACTTAATAAAGTTGGTTTATGTGAATCATATAAACAGGTAGGTTGACAATATTATCCTGTTTCGTTCAAGTTAAAATTTTTCCATTCTTTTTGCTTTGTTATATAGGCTAATGCAAGCAAAAGTGATTACATTTCAACTGATCTTGAAGATTGTCATTTGTGTATTAATAGTACTGTTTATCAAAAAAGGTAATATATTTGCTGTTTGTTGCTTTGATTTGCATAATTTACATCTTGACCTTAAACCTGTCATTGTTTATTTCTTTATTTTGGTTATATCTCATATTGGTTTGGTTTTTGGTCTTATATTTGTCCATAATTTCTTCTGATTGTTTGATAAATTGGATCAACAGTAACCACTCAGGATCAACGTCTACAGAACCAGCTGTGAACTATGTGTGGAGAAATTCGAACACTTCATTTCTACCTGAAGTTTGTGCTGATGATGTCGTTCAGAATAACGATGAAATTTCCACGACCAAACTATCCAGCTCAGAGAATAAAACTCCATCAAAATCATCCACCTGAGTTATTATTCTTCTCCACCATCTCATTATCGACAGAATTTATTTTTATTTATTTCAACACATAGATAATGGTACACAGGAGGCCCCAAATACATATGCGCCACGCAAATCTCATTCGATATGTGTGAGGGCTGTGATACTGCCCGGGTGCCCAAACCGAAGCAGGTGGTTTTCTTAGGGGGCCACAACCCGAGCCTTCGACCTGAAGGTCTGATCTACAAGGCAGTGGAGCATCGTAAGGAGATGCAGTCCCATGTTAGCCGGTGACCAACGATTGGTTCATACGCCATTTGTTCCCTCAGGATACTGGAGCCCATGTGCACCATTGGTTTGGAATCCGGTTAAAGCACCGGACATTCGCTTTTCGTCCTCTCATTTTCGTAAACAACACCCCCGCCACGAGAAGGTAGTGAGTAGGACTTCCCTGGTAGAGGCTATATACGCGTGGCCGTGTGAGAGCATTTCGAGAGGGAGAGCGAACTCTCCCCACTCTCGGCTGTACCAGGGCATTCGGGGGCCATCTACAGAATAGAATAAAGTTGTCAGTGTTGAAATGTCTAGTGTGTAGTGTTTCTTTAACTCAGTTTATGTGTCAATTGTAACTAAATGATCAATAGTCGGAATAAATATAGATAACATGAAGTATGAGAAATAATAATGTAATGTTTCGTCGAAGACTTATCAATATCTTGACAAAATTCCCATGATGTTATTAGAGGGCGAATCACTAAGTAATTTAACCAGCGACGAAGTATAGCTCTATCTTAACGCGCCCAGTTGATAGTGATCTTCTGGTAGATAAACTGAATCAAGGCGATTGATCTATCGTACATCTTCGTCGTTTCCCTATAGAATCCCATCTAGTCTACTAAATATATATGAAAAGCGAATTCAGCGAGAAAATGTTCTTTTTGACGAAATCATTTACTTAAGCTGTACATTCGTATATATAGTTATATGGAAAATATATGTCTATAGAAGGATAGAAAAGACTGCATCACAAAAATGGATTCAAGAATAAATAACAAATGAGGTTACGTACTAATCAAGGGGTAAGGAAGAAAATAATTTATGGGTCATATAATAGTCCAATTGACAGATATGAAGAAAAGCGACTAACAAAAAGGTCATAATGATAACTGATTAGAGTTAAAAATGCAAAACAGTAATTGAAAAAAAATCAATAATAATCAAATAAAAGTGCAGAAAAACAAGAAAAAAACCTAGAAACATACCCATCAAAGGAACTACGGTCAAGTACGAATGAGAGGATGGACAAATCGTTTCCGCACGCAAAGTTCAGGCTTGGGTTCATAGATTGCCAATGCCTCAGCAGTCCATAAAATATTGATTCGGCCCCACTTCGATCCAATTCCTTTGACTCTGTAGATTACTTTAAAAGAAGAGTCCTTTGGAGCGATGTGTCCACAGTTAATATTAAATGCTCCTGTATCGAACTAGTAATTGTTCTGCATTCTCCTTTTAAGAGCCAAGCCGGATAGTGTTCCGAGATGCGTTTGGACAGCGATCGCTTTGTGCGGCCTATGTAACGTGCCCCACATGAGCAAGTAAATTTGTAGATACACATTGATGTGGCCCAAAGCGGAAGTTTATCCTTAACACATCCCCGAACGGTAGGTCGGCTGGAGAAAACAATTCGGAGCTTATCTGCGTAGAATGTTTTATTCAACGATTTTGAAATCCGTTTATTTAAGATTTCAGCAGCCGTGTCTCCTTTAAATTCCATATTCATAAATAGAGTTTTCTTCTCTACTGTCGATGCTTTGTCATGAAGTCTAGGTGCCAAGTTTCTATCGATGAATCTCGGTGGATAATCATTTTTGATGAGGGTCTGTCGAAGATGAAATAATTCCCCATCTATTGTGTCATTGGAATAAATTCGTTTGGTCCTTGAGGATAAAGAATGAATTAAGTTCGTTTCTCTACTTAATGGAACCCAACTATGGAAGTTCGTGTATTGTCTATTCCAAGTGGGTTTTCTATATATCGATCTCTGTAAAAAAAACCGTCAGGCATTCTTTTTAAACAGACATCAAGAAAATGAAATTCATCATTACAAATGGTTTTCTACGTGACTATATTGAAAACAATAATCTTGATATGTGTATCCCAAAACATTATCTTAAAGAACTAATTCTACGATGTACGCTCAACGTGCAATTTAAATTTAACGATGATTTTTATAGACAAACAGATGAAGTTGAAATGGGTTCTCCATTGGGCCCTCCCTTGGCTGATTGTTTCATGGCCAATCTGGAAAATTCGGTACTTCGATCAATAATTGAGAGGTTTCATTTATATAAGAGATATATGGATGGCACTTTCATTATTTGTAAAGAAGACATGGACCTCAATGATATTTTGAATACTTTCAATAACTGTCACCCATCAATTCAATTTACCTTAAAAGCAGAGGCAAACAATGAGAAGAGAAGAAAACTCTATTTATGAATATGGAATTTAAAGGAGACACGGCTGCTGAAATCTTAAATAAACGGATTTCAAAATCGTTGAATAAAACATTCTACGCAGCTAAGCTCCGAATTGTTTTCTCCAGCCGACCTACCGTTCGGGGATGTGTTAAGGATAAACTTCCGCTTTGGGCCACATCAATGTGTATCTACAAATTTACTTGCTCATGTGGGGCACGTTACATAGGCCGCACAAAGCGATCGCTGTCCAAACGCATCTCGGAACACTATCCGGCTTGGCTCTTAAAAGGAGAATGCAGAACAATTACTAGTTCGATACAGGAGCATTTAATATTAACTGTGGACACATCGCTCCAAAGGACTCTTCTTTTAAAGTAATCTACAGAGTCAAAGGAATTGGATCGAAGTGGGGCCGAATCAATATTTTATGGACTGCTGAGGCATTGGCAATCTATGAACTCAAGCCTGAACTTTGCGTGCAGAAACAATTAGTCCAACCTCTCATCCGTCCTTCGAAATAGTCAACTTTTCCCTTTAAATGCTATCTATCATATGACTACGCGTATATATCCACTGTCAGTAAAGTCCTTCTCATTCTCTTCGGGAGGAACAAGTGTTGATTCTGAAATTGGAAGAAACATAAGCGAACCTTCAGCTCTTAAACCAGATTGCTGGGTACGGACGACCCTCCTGGAAAAGTTGGAAAACCCCGATTCCAAATCTATGGTGCACGTGTGATACAGAATCCCAAGGGAATAAACGTCATATGAACCTTATCTTGGCCACTGCCTAATATAAGACCGAATCTTCTAACGTTGTATCATTGTCATGTGTATTAAGTCGCTGAGTCGAAAACATATGGAGTAGTAGCACCCCAAGAAAACCACCTACTTTTGTTTGAGCACCTAGATAGTAGTTCAGACCATACACAAATTCAATAATTTGTGTTGCGCCATATATATTTTGTTGCCAACTGTATCAGTGTTTATGTGTTTAAATAAATGGTGATATTCCACATTACTTACGTCTGTTACCTCTTGTGGAGGAGCATAGACCGCTCACTAGGATTGATAATCCATGTAGAATAACATAGAGGCGAATAACATTGTTTTTAGTCAGATCGTCTTTCACGGAGCCTCCTTATACGGCAATATTTATATGGATATATGAAAGGACCAAACCAATCAAGGGAATTAATGAGACCATGGCTACAATTTCTTAACTTTATGTCATAAGTGAAAGGTACAAATTGATAGTAATAAGTCAGGAGTACTAATAGTAGTGATAAGAATAATAAAACAAAAAAGTTCTAATCATTAATTCAACTTAAAATGTAGGTCAAGCTTAGACGAACAAACTTAAAAAAAACGACGAAACATTGAAATTACGCAATGAAGTTTAAATAATTAGATAGTGAAGGATATAGACCGGAAGAGGCGAGAAATGACAAACAGATACATGATATAAAAAAAGTTAATTAGGTCTTTTATGAAGTCATATCTGACCAAGAAAGGGACAGGGTGTCACGAATTTCGTTTGACCATATGAACTAGGGTTATAGGTTCAGATCTTTATAGCTATATATAGGAGACGGGATCGAAATTCATTGGGGAATGACGATGGTATCTGTTGGATCACCACACGATCATGACCAAACGTGATAAAGTAAAGTCCTTGTTTGGTCCTTTCCAAATCATTATAAGAAATGTTCGCACATTCGTTAGTACGTCTAATATAGCTATCTCAAGAGCAGATAAATTTGTTGATGCATATCAAAGAAGCAAATCCATGTAAATTGTTCCATGTTTGAGTGAACATCACTGGTTAACTAGGAAATGCTAACGTAAGTTTAGTCGTTATCCTCCTAACTGTACTCACTAATTTACTGTACGAAAAGTCACTATCTACATTCTCGTTGAACTGTAGTTAGACTAAAATCTCCGAGCGGTCTATATTTCCAGTTTTTCTTCCTGTTTACATATGTTCTAAAAACTTGGTAAGTAGTCCATTTCCATCAGAGTGTTATTGAAAGCTTCAAGTCCTTACTTGTGGCTTCATCTGGACAGATCTTTTTTATCTTGCTTGTAAAGTATCTAACCGGATTACTTTTGTAGTGGGTAGATATCTGGCTACGGAAGTCTGTATCTCAACACCCAGAAGCGCTCTCTTTATACACCCTTCTGTCTAACAAACTGTCATCCTGTCTATCGAATGAAATATCATGGTAATTTAATGTATTCTCATACTCATCCTCCCAAGCGAAAGTGATTGCCGAACACACAATGTCAAACTGATTTAGGATCTTTTTGTTAATATCGTAACTTATGATGATGAGTGTTTTGTCTATCTAATATCTGCATAGATCTAGTTTATCGTTGACCTTCTTGAAGGGTTCATTTTTCTAACTGGTCGAATTGAAAAGATTTTTGTTCGTTCACATGTGTTCTGATTTATTTATCATTAATCTTATATAGTCTTGGAGTAATGAATTATCCTGTGAAACTTAGCAAACGTGAACCTCGTAAACAAAATACAGTTATTCTAATCACATATACTTCGAGAAAAGAGAATGAAGCACTAAAAAATTACTACCTGCTTTTACAACGACCTAAAACAGGTATGTATTTGTTAAATGATTCAATTTTTTTCTCTCCCTATATTCCTCACGTAATTCTTTCTTATAGTATGTTGGTATATAATTCCTTAGTCTATTGTTAGTGTTTGCTGTTGTAAGAGGTTGGAAGTGAGTTAGGCGCTCTCAAACTAAGATGCGACGTAAATTTATCAAGTCACTGACTGTTGAACTGACCTGTGTAGGTAGGTAGGTAGGCAGGCAGGCAGGCATGTACAAATCACCTTGTTGCTATCAGCGCGACATTCGTAGCAATTAGTTAACGTGGATCAGAATCCATCTCAGTGACGTAGATGCACTCACTCTTTTACCTATAATACTTATACTTTGTATCCCACAATTTCTTTATTCCTTTTCGAATCATGCTGTCTACACCTAATGTTTTCTACTATTATTGATACGATGACTACTTCTTGTACTCTGGTATTTATATTGATATTTGATCTGATGTGGGGACTTGTGCAGAGTTGCATGAATTTGTATGATTTTCTATCACTTATAGCTTACTTGATGAGGTTAAATTTCTCAATTACAAAATGTGTCCTTTTTAAAACTCATCAATATTGTCTTGTGTTACATCCGAACGATGACTAAGGGAATAAGTGGTGCTGGTGGCGTGAGTGATGAGATCAATGCACTTATAGTGAAAGCCAGAGCGGCTTATGCCAATCTGGACCATCTTTGGTCCCTTCGTGATGTTAGTCTGTCTGTGAAAGGTCGGATCTACAACGCGTCGGTGAGAGCAGTTCTGCTCTATGCTTGTGAAACCTGGCCTCTCCGAGTCGAGGATGTTAGACGACTCTGTGTTCGATCATCGTTGTCTCCGAAGGATTGCTGACATCCAGTGGCAACACCATGTTAGTAATACAGAGGTTCGGTATCGTGTGTTCGGGCGCAGAGACGATAAGTCAATCGGTGTCACCATCTTGAAACACCGAATTCGGTGGCTTGGACATGTTCTACGAATGTCGTCCCAGAGAATTCCACGTCGTGCATTATTTTGCGACGCTGGGACTGGTTGGAAAAAGCGGGGAGGTGGTCAGTGTACGACATGGCGCAGTGGTATGAAAGAAATCTGCAAAGGACTGGCTTGTGTTGGTCCTTCACGACTCCCTGGCTGAGGTCCTAGCGATGGTGCAACACAGTTGTTAGAGACGTTATCGGATAAGGTTCAGAATAGAAGCCAGTGGCGATCCTGCTGTAACCTTTTATTTTCTTCATTAAAAAAATGGTTGTTTCTTCCTCAACTGAAAGAATTCTGATTGTACCTTTCCGTTTCCCTCTTTTTTATTATTATTATTATTATTATTATTATTATTATTATTATTACACTACCTTACACTAATCTGTGGTCGTTATGTAGTTGACAAGAACACCAGTGGGGACAATCGAATGTATTCACACAAAATCACAGAACTTGTTAATAAAATCTAACAATCATAAGGTAAATGCTTAATTTGCAAAATGTCCACCAGTTGTCTCAAAATGACTCAGAATTCATTGTTCTTGCATTTTTATACAAATTGCATCCTATTTCCATTCTTTACTGTTTGATCCTCTTGTCTCTCTACTGCCAGACCTTCTGTTCATGACTGACACCATATACTACTTAGGCCAATATAAGCAGCACACACCACAGTTATTGTTCTTTTTTCTTCTTTTTTTATACGCTCCTCACCTTTGTTTCTCATCCCATTCCCATTGTTTTGTGTGGCGCATATATATTTGGTGCCCCGTTGTACCAATATTTATGTGTTCAAATAATAATAATGATAATAAAGAATAGTAACTTCCAGGATATATATAACGATTTTGGACTAGTGATCACATGTTTTGTGTTCTTGCTCTTTGTTCGGGTCTAGTTAGTACTGAACCAACCGGTTAACGTTCTCATCCTTGTTGCGTATTGGTCTGTGCTAGGATATAGCATCTTGTATTCCACAATCTATATCTTTATAACTAATAACTGTTGCAATGGGAGAAAAGCTTTTATAATTTACTTGTTACCTTGTCGAATATACTCTGAAGCTGCTACTTTGATGTAGTGATTAGGATAGTTGTAAATTTTTCAGATTGATCAGTAATTATAATAATTGATAAAGGCATCAACTTACGTAGTAGGTTTGACTGTAAAGCTATCTTATATCACATTTTGGAAACCTGTGAATATATGTTACCCCTGACTGGTAGCCTTCATGACCTTAGGGAGTGACAATAAAGCCTAAGAGATAGCTGCTTGAGCCAGGGTGGTACCCGACCATTTTATGACTAGGTTTTGTTTTGTTTACTCTACAATATCATGGCGTTACCGTCGGGGACGGGAATCATCCGTGCACAAATTGAGGTGTATTATTTTCAGGATCGAACTCTTCTAACCATCATAAACAGAGATCGTCTCTAGAGATACAATTCGATTCATAGTTTTTTTTTTACAAATTTAATATGTGTACTTATATTAACAAGAGAAATCTCAAACAAATAAACATTCTTATGCATGAATTCTCAGGTCTTTTGGCTGGTTTATGGGAATTTCCAAGTTACACCATTGAAGATGACGAATTGACGAGTGAAATTCAACAATCATTTATTCCTTTAGTTATTGATCGAATTACAAATGCGTTGAATTCCTCACTGAATATAACTTCAATTAATGAATTAAATGTGAAACCTATTGGAGAGGTATGATATTTTTTATAGCTTTTTGCAGATATAGTAATCACAATAAAATATAAGATATAACGGTGATTAAGAAATCATGAGTTTTAATTTCGTAGTATTACACATGCATTCAGTCATTGCCTACCTCCGATGTATAGCGTTGGTTGATGTAAGAATAGGTTGGAAGAAAGCTCGAGGTGGTCAAACTATATAACGATATGAATTCATGAAGTAGTCAACTGTTACTCTGAAGTATGTTGGTGTATGCACTGACTACGTTGTTGGAATTGGTGTCATAATCATGAAAATGTGATCACTTGAACTGATACATTTTTTCGTGTTAGATCCCTTGTTGTTTAAAACAGATTGATAGTAGACAATCGTTTCTCCTGTTTGAAATTATATTCATTTCATCATAATTCTAAAACTTGAGTTTCAATGAACACTATACCTAGTATTAACGTATCCTGCCGATTACTTTCAACCACTTAATTCATGCATAGTACCAGCAGTTTTTTGTTGATATTCTTAATCTCTTCTCGTTTGACGCAAGTTCCAACTTATTGCCTCTTAATTCAACCTATCATTATATTAACCATTTCATTTTATTTTATAAAAGCGTTTCTTCATCTAAAGATTTGAAAAAATTCCCTTAAATTTAGTTATAACTGTTGTTGTTTAGAGCGGTGAATCATCAGCCTACTTATTGACATAAATAGTTCGTAATAGATCTTAATTTAAGTTAGTTTTACTCGGTGATCAGATTTAGATAGTAAAAATAATGGAAAAATGTAAATTCCCAGTAAATGAACTTTTCAGTCAGTTACAACGTAGGACCAGGCACATATATGCATCAATCCAAGTTGCCATACCGCATTAGCACAGCAAGATGAACAGCGGATTCATAGGAGTGGTTAGGTCAAAGGTTGCAATAAGGATATAGTATAGGAAGAAAGAATTAGTTCATAGAAAGAAAGATATGAAGTGATTTTAATCTCTTAGTTTAAGGGAAGACAGGGAGTGTATACACCGACGCCATTGTGATCGATTCTGAGTCATGTCACCAAGAGTCTCCAACCATTGGTTACGACTGTCACACGGACCCCAACCAAGTAGTCTGCATCTACCAACATGGTTCAAACTAGAAGTTAGTGACTTCAAGCACTGATGCCACGTTTTGGTTTGGCCACTCCTAACTTTCTTTCAACCATCTCCAACACCGGTTAGCATTGCACAACGTGGTAATCGGTGTTCAGGCATACGTAACACGTGGCCCAACCATCTCAGTCGATGAAGATTCATAAGCTCATCAACTGATCTGCCATCATTTCCTAATACCCTGCATCTAACTTTACTATTACTATAGCTCGGTTGCTTCATCACATTAGGCAAACCCAACTTCCACGTCAAGGTAGCGACAACGGTTGGGAAATGAACTTTTAGAAGTGAGAAAATGTTTTCAATCACTTCTTTTAAAATTAGGTGTGTATTAACTGTGTATTGATGTTTAAAAATAACTTCGAACAATCAGAGAGTTGTTTTGTCTCTAGGACAAAATAACATTAAAATGTTAAATTTAATTCTAATACAGACGTATCATGAAGTTGTTTTAGAATTGGAAATTAAACTTCAAAATCTATTGGGTTACAGGTTCGAATCCAGTTCCATTTACTACTACGGTAGAGTTTTGCTTTTTTTTTCTTTAATATAGTTTCAATAAATAATCTATAAAGTCGAAGTTTTACCTGTGGTAACAAATGTGTTTGATTAGTGGAATGATCATTTGTAGATATCCAGTAGAATTTGTTAGTTCGTTTCATTGTAGTACCACATAAATAAGGTACATCAATCATAAACATATATTAATTGAATTGATCATTAAAAGATTACAATATATTTGTACAACACATGCAAGCGAACAATATTGTTTTCAACTTAGATCGTTATCAGACTTTATTCTAATATGCGAAAATGTTAAACCAATCAAGGCAATTTAAGCCAATAATTACCCTCAAATAGATTACATCACCGTACATAATTGATAAAAGTACAAGTTAATAGTAGTAGGAAGACAGGTGTACTGATAGTAGTAAGAATAATAAAATACAATAACAAATGTCTTATCAATAGTTAAACATTGGAAATAGAAGGTCAAACATGGGTAAATAGACTGACAGTGGCTATATACGCGTAGTCATATGTAAGCGTTTGAAGGAGAGAGTAGACTCTTTCCACCATCGACCGTATTCGGGGCTGGATTTTCATCAAGCATTGTCTTCTTCGTCATATCTAAGTTATCATCATACTATGTTGACTGAAGACAACAGTTGGACAACATGTCTATATTCGTTATTAATAAGTTAAGCAAAACCACTTCAAACCTTTACTGATATAATCAAAGGTAATTGAAAGATAGCTTTAACTGACTCATGATTTCAACCTGTGAAATTTCTAAAACTCTCCACAAAACCCATTCTGATAATAATCAACTGCTCACTAGTGACTAACTTCAGGAAAAACTCCTGGAGTTCTAGTGAGAAGCCGTTACCAGTGGAGTTCAACCGGTCTGTTGTGAGATAACAACTAGCTGAAGACAATGGTGTACGGTGGCGCGACTTCGTGGATTGGTTGAAGTTAGACATTAACACCGTTGGATGCCGGCTCAGTGGTCTAATGGTTAAGTGCTCGCGCGCGAAGCCAGTAGGTCCTGGGTTCGAGGCCCCCGTAGTGCGGGATCGTGGATGCTCACTGTTGAGGAGTCCCATACCAGGACGAAACGGCCGTCCAGTGCTTCCAGGTTTTCAATGGTGGTCTAGCTTCAACTGACTCATGGTTTCAACCTGTGAAAGATAGATATCTTTACAATCAATGTGAATTACTACATTTCCATTATTTTTCATTAAAGAGGAAGAATGTATTTGTAAAATCTCAGCGAAAGAATTTGAAGTAAATTGCTGAGATTTTGCAAATACATTCTTCCTCTTTAATGACTTACATTAACTCGGCGACCAAATATTGTGAAACTATTCGTTCAAATTTAGACAAAAGTTCTTATTCCATTGTTTTTGTTCATTAATATACAACTTTAGAGAGAGTCTTCCAGCTAATTAATCTCTCTTCACTTTTCATGGGTTTAATTTGAATCCATATAACTTCCACTAATCTATTCTATTTTTCGTCATATATAAATGTCACGTGGAATATTTCGATAAAATCTTATCTAAACTAATAATTTTCTTGTTTCTATGTTTATATTTACCTACATTTACTGTGATAACTCTTCCCCATTCAGGTTCTACATATTTTCTCACATATACACATGACGTATATTGTATTCGAGTTGAAAGTTGAACAACAACAACCAATTCCCTCTGAGTGTTTAAACAATTCTAATACTAATACTAATACTACTACTACTTGTGATTGGCCGCCAAGTTTAAATTCCGGTCGATGGGTTAGTCGTGAAGATTTAAACGACTCGGCTATATCCACTGCTACTAGAAAGGCAAGTTATGTTTGTATGTTTATTTGTGCGTGTGTGTGTTTTACATAATTTATAACCAGTTTTTATCTATTTACGAGAAAGAAACTTCATTATGTTTACACTTTTCATAAACAAACATTTCGACTTCGATTGAACTGTACTAGTTTAGAGTCTATTTAGACATCGCTTGGATCCGCACATATCCAGTTAAAGTCCCCGAATGGAATGAAACGCGCATCCAACTGCTACTCAACATTCAATGTCAGTTAAGAAAAATTTTGATGAAACCAATTCCGTCCATTAGTTACTCATTAGTCATTGACTAATAATTACATTGAGTTTGAATGACAACTGACTGTGTATATTGCGGTGTTAAACTAATTTAACATATCACCTGTCACGACCGTTTACTCTTGATACGTGTTAGTGGTTAGAGCAAAGTGAAACGATAGTCCCCTGGTTGGTTCCATTAAGTTTTAAGTCTCAAGCTGCAATTTCTAATCCGATTCAACTGTTATTAGCTTAGACTGTTCGGCTAGCGTTTACTAACCCTCATATATATTCTGTAGGCTCAAACATCTACCAAGCTATGATTTTTACTGAAGTCCGTTCTATTCTTTACTGTCCTGTTAATTCAAACTATCTAGGACAACTGTCGACTTGATCCTAAGATATAATTATACTTTTTACTCATGAACACATCTCCATAGTTACACCTGTAAATCTACAAGAAGCTCCTATTAATCGCTCTAACAACTGAAGTGCCAACCGTTTTGGTAAGACCAACATCCAACTACCTCGATTTTATGTTATGCGTGATTGGGCTGTGGCCTAAGGGTAATACTTCGATCCATCTGCATCTGTTTAGACAACTGGGTAATATCTTAAGCCCTCAAATTTAGAGTATGGTTCAAAATACCGGAATTCTTATCTAGTTGACCAGTTGGTAATTACTTCTACTCACAGGTTTCGGGGACATAATGTACAATTTTTCTCGGTACACATTCACAATATTTCGAACTTGATAAAATAACGATCAAGATTTTTGTTTGTCATTTCCAGGTATTTGCTCATTTTGAAAATTCCAAATCATCACATTCTGAAGTAAGTGTTCATGTTCATTATTTAATTTTGACTTTAATCAATAGACTAGGGAATTGGACCTAATTATTTCACAAGTAAGCTGATATATTAGTTCTGAGATTACTGGAAAAGATAATTTCACTTTTCTATATACCGGAATATCGTTGAAAAATATCAACATAAAAAATAGGGAGGAGATTTTTTTTCATTGTTTATTTCTGTTACTAAGGTAACTGAAGGTCAGTCACGGACTACTTATAATACAAATGGTCATATTTTAACGAATTACTGAATGCATAAGCCACAAAATATATAGCGCACACATTTGAAGTAACCAGTTATCCATAAGTTATATAGAACTTAGCACATATGTTCATCGGTTCGAGTTGTCGTATCCCAGAATAGTAGTGCTAACATTTAAAGTGATAGTAGGAAAGCCTAGTCGTAGTATGATTTAAGAAGAAAGAATAAATTTATAAAGTATGAAATATAGTACCATCTTGAAAGTTGAGATCTAGGGCAACCAAAAACTATATGCCCACTTACACCATTGTCATCGATTTTGAGATATATCAACCAGCAATAGCATATTCACGCAAACTCTAACCAGGCAGTCTGCACCTACCTACACGTCTCAGTCTAAATAGATAGTCAGGTTATCTACCCGACTGTCTTATGCTTAATGGATCAGTAACTTGATAATTAGAATACTCAACTTTTAATTAATAAGTGGTAGACTCAACAGCTACCTAGTTCGGTTTATGGGGGACCTGATATTATCATTAGTCCCCTTACGAACAATGTAGTTCATACCTTATTGCCCAATTGTGTATTTGATGTGTTACATGTAATAGCGATCAGAATCCCGAAATTTGATCGTGTTCAATGGACTTGGTGACAGAATTAAAAATATGTGGATAGACTTTTTTCCTTATTTAATCTCTGACTACAGTTCATCCTGATCAATTAAAAACTTTCATCTTCAATATTGCAGTACTACAATTCTCTAGTTATTTCTAAAACAGTTTTAATTCACACTATATTTAATTTACATTTACCTGATAAACAACATGTAATGTATGACGTATGTTTTTATCATTATTATTGTTGATTATTTAATTTCACTGATTGAAATCACGAGTCAATTGAAGCTAGACCACCGTTAAAAACCTGGAAGCACTGAACGGCCGTTTCATCATAGTATGGGACTCCTCATCAGTGCCCATTGACGATCCCGCATCCCGCGAGATCCGAACCCAGGACCTATCAGTCTCGCGTGAGGCGCTAACCAATTAGACCACTGGGCCGGGATCCAACGATGCTTCCAGGTTTTCCATGGTGGTCTCGCTTCAATTGATTCATGATTTCAATCCGTGAAATTTCTAAAAATCTTCACAAAATCCCTTCTGATTATTTAATTGTCTACAGGTTGATAGAAATCAAGGAAAAATCAAAAGAACCTCTACAAACAAACAATTATTGAATTCTAAACAATCAAAATTAGATCATTTCTTTCATTAGTGTGAGATTATTTTTATTCCAGATAAATGAACAATCAAAATGGTAAAGAAATCCTCTTTACCTGATGTGCTGATGTCTACCAGTAACAAGAATTGTTATCCATTGTATATATTACTATATTATTCCTTTTATTCCCGATTACCCTATATTCCATACAATTACTAATGATTCTATTTTTTGCCTAGATAGAATAGTTTCTTATTTTTATATAAATTTTTCAAAAATCTATTTGAGATTTTGATGAGACTTATCGTTTATGGACGACGTTTGAGAGAGTGATGCTAGACTGACCTTGAGAGTGTTCACTTAATAGTCAGGACTAAATGAGGGTTATGAACTTGTGTGAGAAATTAAGCTTAGGAATTAGATTTCAGGTTTTCATCACGAATTAACATCAACCATAATGTCAAAACTCTAGATGATTGTTGAAGGTAGTCGACAGGAAAGCTACGATCCGAGTTTCGTGCTACTTGGTACTCGTCAGCAAGGTGTTGTACCTGTAATCTTGGGGGACCGGTGCTCCTAGCTTCACAGTCAAAGACGTTACCACTGAGCTATCCGAGCCGCGACCGACCTCCTGTAGGACTGAGATGTAATCACAACTGATTGATCACTGGGTGGTGATTGGTTCGTTCATAAAATTTTAGTCTCACCTAGTTGTTGTTTTTTTCTCTCTGAATTCTTCCTCATGTGACTAAATTTGGTACAATTTTATCTTATCAGAAATAAAAAGTAAACAAGTTTTTATTCAAAAAAAGTAAACAGAACATTTAGTAGTTAGTTATTTTAATAAATCAAATCTGAATTCATGTGACTTTACAAACTATGATTTCTATAATAATCAATGTAGTGAATAGTAGAATGCAGAATTTACGTTTTATCCAATTGGATGTAATTCAAATAACAGGGTTGATATTTCTTGCGGGATTCGAACCTAGTGTCGTTTGTTTCAAATAGCAAATGAATCAATAGTTCATAAGTTTTTACTAATATATTATTCTAACCATAATTATAAGATCCACATCAATATTTCAGGGGAATAACACATATAAGAAGAACTATGACAATCTCCACAAAACCCCTTCTGATACTGATTAGCATATGCTCACTAGTGACTGACTTCAAGAGATATATCCTGGAGTTCTAGTGAGAAGCAGTGAACAGTGGAGTTCACCCGGGTCAGTTTTAAGGTAGTAACTCACTGATGATAATGGTGGATGTGTCGCTCAATTTCGTGGATTAGTTGAAGTTAGACATTAACAGCGCTGGATGCCGGCTTAGTGGTCTAGTCGGTTAAGCGCCTGGTGCGAAACTGATAGGTCCTGAGTTCGAATCCCGGGGTGTGGGATCGTGGATACGTACTTCCGAGGAGTCCCACAATAGGACGAGACGGTCATCCAGTGCTTTCAGGTTTCCCATTGTGGTCTAGCTTCAATTGACTCATGATCTCAACTATTGAATTTACTACAATCTCCACAAAACCCCTTCTGATACATATTTATACATTTAATGAATGAATATTATATATATTATAGGCTGATTTTAGATGGGAATTTTTATATGTGGGCGAGAATGATGATGATCGGTTGTCTGCTTAGTCGGTCATATAGATAGTCTGATAGGTGTGTCGGATGAGTTATTATTATTACTCCTTTATTGATTGTCGGGTTGTTGGTGGTGTGGAAATCTATTTACTTTGTGGTCAAGCTAATCACATGTTCTTGATCTGAGTTGTGTTAATGTACTGGGAGGGAATCTAGTGCAGGTATTCGTTTAAGGTAAATTAACTTCCTATAAGTGTAAACGTGGAAACCCAACCGTTATAACATTAGACGAAGTAAAACTCGAGCGTTGTAACAAATTTCATTTCAAGTGCTAATTTTCACGTTATTTACGTTTCTCATCTAATAATTTATGATGTACTGTAGTGTCATGTTCACAGAAGTCGTGCATAGATGGCTAATGAAATCATCAATCAAAATTACGCTAATAGACAAAATTAATGGAATAATACTGAATACTTCATTTTTATTGAACATTGATGAAGGATGGTTCTTACATTTGTAAAACGGTCAAGTTGTAAAGAAAAAGGAGAATGCAATATCCACAAAACAACTAAGGGTATAGTGTTTGAAGATACGTGATTCGTGAATTACTTTTTCAGCAAACATTCACAACAAAGTTATCGATTTTGTGGTTCAAGAGATGCATGCAAAATACACATAGACGATACTATTTTAGAGTACGCTATTGTTATTGATATATTTATTATGATAGTTATCAATCTTTTGAGCATAGAGTAATGATATGAGAACTGTAAGCGATCCGTGATATGATTGGCAGTTGAACGTGCATTAGTAGACGCTCATTATTAGATGTGCCATTTGTTCCAAATTATTGATTTTTGCTCTGGACTCACTTGGCGTAGATTGGTTTGTCGTTGTGTTGAATAATATATCGCCTATTCTATATTATGGTACTCTGTTTTCGGTCGTTACTCGTGTATCCAGTATAACGTGTCCCAGTCTGTGTATATCATATCACTAGAGTACCTGGTCTAGTAGTAGTATATTCCCGGTCACTGGACGTACAATAGTAGTGTAATGTAACTGAGAAATATCTGGATTCCCCCGTATGCACGTACGTTATGAACGTTCTGGGATGATAGACAAAACAAGAGTTTACTCTCAGTATTTCCTTAATTGGAAGACTGGAACGTTAAGTTTGAGAATGAGTAGTGTAAACAAGAACAATTTCAGTTCCGTTACAGGATACTTGAAATCATATACAACTAGAAAAACGGAAGCACAGATCAATAACATCAAGGATGACTGATAGGTCTGTTGTCATATTCGTGCTAGATTGTTCTTTACCGTATTTATTCATGTGGATTTTTACTTTAATTAATCATTCAAACATATTATACTAACCAGAACACATAGGAAAGTACATTCACGTTGATTGTTGATTACAAATGATCACATATTTGATCATAACGATGGAACTGCGTTTGTAGCGATGTAGTTGGAAGATGCTACAACATGTTCCCGAATTAGTCACTCCATTTTATAACCAACAATCTGTATAATTCAAGATTAGTCTCTTTAAGTGTCATTTTCCAAAGTTCTACAATCTTGTCTATGATGGTTCGATAAATATCTTGGAATGTGGTTCGAAGATTTCGAGCATCACAAAGAAAGTTTCGTGATGATGATCTGGAGGTTGAAAAAGTTGTAAATCATTTACAATTGCAAAGTACAAGAGATAATTGTCCAGATATGAATAATTATTATTAAAAGTTAAAACAGCTTAGCGACAACTGAGTACCGAATAAAAAAAACTGGGAGGGACTTTTTAGGGCTGAATAAGAATTAGAGATTACACGTTGTGTTCATGCTTATATTTCTGAATTTCAAAAGCCTCAATGGTGCGCGCATTTTTGCTTCAACTTCCTTTTGATCCCAGCTGTTCGATTGTCCAGATTTCGAAAAATAATTCCAGTGTGATTACGTGATAAGAGTCAATTAAATGATCCATATTTTACTACACTAAGTATTGTCCTAAGACGCATCAAATCACTATGGTCACTATAGTACACCTTCTGTAATTGATATCATTGAAAATAAAGTTCTCTTCACTGAACTGCCTTTATATTTTTTCCAATGAAACAATGGGTTTCCTTCGTTATCCACTGTCGTTGGTTATATGCAGAAACCGAGATTTCACCTTATTAAATCCTTACTGAATTAGTTCTGTAAGATAGTTTTTTTTTTACCAGAAATGAGGAACATGGTAATTGTTGTAATCCTTAAAGTAAATTCATAAGAATATCCAGTAAAGCTGAGAAAATTCTCTCTGAAAATAGTGCTAATTAAATTATGTGATTGTAGAGGTGAGAATGCTTCATCAGATAGAAGACAGGAAGCACGGGGTTAAGATGACTTAGAACTATATGCCCATCTATGATTTCCTGACTTGATCGGCTCTAAACATCTGTCATATCATATTACTCAGCACAGTGGTCATATTGTAATTTTGAGCTTGTGATTAGAACAGCTATCAACATGACTTGGACATCAAATAAGTGATCAGCTAGTGTGAAGTTGATCGATAGGATTAAATCAATATAAGGATCAGAGATGTATATGAATCGGTTCAAGTTGCTACATTATAGGGACAAAGCAATTTGAAACTATCACGACAAATATCAGAGTAAAGGAAGCAATGTCAGTGATATTAGAAAAGATTAGATAAGAAAAGATGAATTCTTAGCATATAAAGTATGAAATAATTTTGAAACTCAAGATCTAAGAGAAAACAAAGATTTAATATATTTGTTCTACGGCTATCAACTCAGCCATGTCGTCCAAAATTTCAAATCATGATCTTGGATGCCCACTGCTGAGGTGTCCCATCATGAGACGTCACAACTCTTCTAAATGAAAACCTTTTAACTCTCAGGGCAGTGTTTAAATGATAAAATATAACTGATTGCATTAATATTGAAATTAGTCCTATGAAATTCGACTGATTGATAGATAAATGGATAATGAACAGCTTTAAAGTACTTACTTACTTACAGTGCAACTCCTTGTGTATGTGGAGCATTTTCTTCTTCATGACTGGAGTATGACAGCAGCCCTCATGAAGCTAGTCTTTGTTGTCCAGCCTGCGTCAAATGTGTTTCACTGATTCCAAGCCCATCCAAGTTGTATCTTTTCATTTCTGCAGCAACTTGGATGACTCTCCCATATTGTACAAATATTTCATGTGCCTAAATTAATGGTTGCTCTGGTCGTCATGAGACGTCATATCTCTTCTAAATGAAGACCTTCCAACTCTTAGAATAGAGTTTAAATGGTCTGAATTATTTTTTCTGGTTAGCGTTTTTTTAGCGAATTAGTTTTCTACGAGATGAGGTCGCTAACCCTACGTTCAATCCTCCTCCTTGATCTCAGCTTGGGACCGTCAGTATCCCCAGAGGGGCTCAAAGCGGAATT